ATATATATAGATCTATATATAGATATATCTAGAGAGATCTATATGTATAGATCTATAAATATAGATATAGATATAGATATAGATATAGATATAGATAGCCCTGGATGGTGCAGCTCAGTTGGTTGGAGCATCATCCCATACACCAAAAGGTCATGGGTTTGATTCCCAGTCAGGGAACATACCCAGGTTGTGGGTGTGATTCCCAATTGGGGTGGGTATGGGCGACAACCAATCAATGTCTCTCTCTCTCTCTCTCTCTCTCTCTCTTCAATTTAAAAAAAGTTTGGCATGTCACATTAAAAAAAACATAAAAGGAAAAAGGGGGCAATGAGATATGTAGGAGGTTTTGAAAATCTTTCTTATTCATGGGAATCCAGTAGGCTACACATGTACAAAATGATGTTTATTGAATCCATTTTGGAAACAGACAGCATGAGAGGTTTGGGGGTTAAGAGCTCACTCAGAGTCTAGAGCAGTGATGGCGAACCTTTTGAGCTCGGCGTGTCAGCATTTTGAAAAACCCTAACTTAACTCTGGTGCCGTGTCCCATATAGAAATTTTTTGATATTTGCAACCATAGTAAAACAAAGACTTATATTTTTGATATTTATTTTATATATTTAAATGCCATTTAACAAAGAAAAATCAACCAAAAAAATGAGTTCGCGTGTCACCTCTGACACGCGTGTCACAGGTTCGCCATCACTGGTCTAGACTGATCGCTTTCTGTCCTTAAACCTCAGCCACAGGAAGATCCTAGTTCAAACAATGAAAATGAATCTTCATGTCATGAAGGGGAGAAACGGTGGTTAAAACGTGGCAGCTACCACTCCTGCACCAGCTCTGATGGCTAGAATGCCTGTGAACATCAATAAAATTTTTATAGGTACAGTCTGAAATATTCACTATACAAACATCCGGTATGTAAACTGGCTAACAGTCATCAGCAAAATCAAGTTCACTGGATCTGGACTGACACCCCCCTTCTCAATGTAGGAGCTCAGGTTAACTGATAACTGCTATCCATTAAGGCCACTTACTTTATGGAAAAGACATTTAAAAACATATGTATTATTAATGTTGTAAACGAAAAAAAGATAAAGCCAAGCATGATTAATTACTTTGCCTGGATCAGTAAATACCAGTGGCAAGTGCTCAGTGTACTAAAAGACTGAAGCCATTAGTTAAAAAAAATCATCGTGTTGTTACCTACTGACGTCCCATCTGCTAATGCATGTTCGTCAATTTGTGGACTTCATCCAATACACACACCAAGATTTTTGTTTTGTTTGTTTGAAATTCTCAGATCTCCTTTGGACACTTCTCTTCCATCCCTCTCGTAGAAGAATGAACAGGAAACAACTTGTTAAACACAGTTTCCAAATTACAAGCCATCGAAAGCACAACTCTGGTCATATTTCAGATCTTCCCCCAGAAGGGAAATGCTGCCAGGATTTAGAGGAGCAGAAAGATTATTGACAGGACACCAAAATGATGCAGAACACTTGGCCTTTTATGGAGTGTCCATTTACCGTTTAATTGTTCTTATCTTCTCCCCAAATTACATTATCTTTGATTCTCCACTTTGGTTCGAATCATTCTATTATCCTGGAATTCTTGCTATGAACTTGATTTCTGGTTCAGGTAAAATGAATAGATCAACAAGCCTTTTTTTTTTTTTTAAAGGCTACTAGTCCTCCTGACTTAGTCAACATCCTATAGAAAGAGAACGAGCATATTAGGACAGGCAGTTCCCGGCCTCAGCTCTGCCCTTGATGCCTAGTGTGAACTTTGATGACACCCGTAGAAATCGGTTTCCCCATCTGCAAGATGAAGATCTGGATTATGTCAGCGGGTACTTTCAATTCCAAATTCAGTGGAAGATTGTGGCTCAGGCCCCTGGGACAACCTGAGAAACAAGTGGTCTGAGCATGACCCTTGTCACGCTGGAGTCCTGGGGGCAGACACACATGGCTGGCTAGAACAGAGTCTCCTCATCTGAGGAGGATCTGGACAAGGAGAGCCTCAGAAGTGGCCAAAGAATGTCCAGTCATTATCAGTGACCCTGGCTGCTCCCCCCTCGGTGCACACAGAACAGAGCCTGCAGGTGTAACATCAGGGTTACAGCTCAGCAGAAACTCCTCTGCTGGAGAACGCAGTGTCTCTGGGAGGAGCTTGGTAGCTGCTGAGCTGCTCCCAAATAGCCAGGGACTTTAAGGCTGTGGTGCTCATCCTGGGCACTTCAGCTAGCAGCTGCGGTCCTTTCACTAATATCATGCAGCTCAGACCTTAACTTCCCGTCATTCTTGCTCTCTCCCCTTCACTTCATGCAGAGTTGAAGAAGCCTTTTATGAGGCATTAGGGGGGTTAGTGAATATCGGCCATGAGGCCTTCGAAGCCTTACCAGCTCCAATTTCCTTCCTTTTTATCATCGGTTAAACTCGAGGCCAGAAGCTGGGGCGAGAAGCCGAAATGGAGGGAAGGTCAGAGCAGCTGCCCCAGTGCTCACAGTTGGCATGAGATTGGTTTAGACAACTTTCATTTCATTTTTAAAAAATATATTTTTAAAATTGATTTTGAGAGAGGAAGAGAGAGAGAGAGAGAGAGAGAGAGAGAGAGAGAGAGAGAGATTGATTGGTTGTTGTTTGCCATATGCACCCTGATTGGGTATCAAACCCACAACCTGGTATGTTGGTATGTGCCCTGACTGGGAATCAAACCAGGACCTTTCAGCTCATGGGACAACATCCAACCAACTGAGCCACACCGGCCAGGGCCAACCTTCATTTCTTGACTGCTATGTATATAAACGCTGTTCCTATAATTAGAGCATATTCACCAGGTCAGTCTCAGGAGTGGGAAGCTGAGCCCATGTCCCCCATGGGAGCTGGAAGGTCCAGGTGCCTGCTCTCCCTGCCTCCTCTGCAGCCACCCCATGTGCACATGTACTGGTTCAGACAACACATGCATAGGCTCCGTCACAGATGTGAGGACTAGTGATGGTAAAAAGCAGACACAGAGGAAGGATGGACTTTAATCCAGCATCCAATGGCTGCAGCATCTCACTTCCAGGAAGAGGCATGGAAGTGATGTCCAAGCCTTTGGCAATGCTGGCTGGACAGGATGCGACATCAATTGAGGTGCCCAGAAGCAGCAATGGTATGCTCTACTGTGACTCAAGAGTAAAAGATTATGGGAGCTTCCAGGAGCACAGGTATTGTGGATGAATTTGTGTCTCCATAAAAATACCAAGCTGCAGAAAGGGAAGGCATAGTACCATCTAGTGTGAAAAGGCTGAGAATGTAGGCTGTGATTGAAATAGAGGCAGAAAGATAATTCAGGTTCATCAAAAGTGACCTTGTGAAATAAATTATTGCTGATGGAGTAACTGGCAGAAGGTAAGTCTTGCTGTCTAGCTTGTTATGAGAAGGCACTTTCCCAGGGGCAATTCCATGGTGACTGGGGAGTCTTTCAGAGGTGGCAAAGCTGGGCTAGAACTCAGGTCACTGACTCCCAAGCCTGTGCTTTTCCCACTCCACCCAAAATGCTCCTCCTCCTCCTGTGGCTTTGGCCTCCAGAGAGCTTCCTTGTCCAAGGGCAGTGGAGCCAAAAACAGAGCCACAAGGTCATTCAAGATTGCCCAACAAATACTCCCCATTCTCGTCACTACTTGGATCTGCCCTGCCCCCAACTTTATATCTCCAGAAAACAGTATTCAACATTCCTACTAAAGGATTAAGGACTTGGAGTGTCTTGTCTCCTCATTCACATCCTAAAATCTAAAGTTGGGAGAGGATATTGCTTAATCCAAAGGGATTGTGTGCTAATGGAGGCATCTTGGGCATGAACAAGTGAAATGTCCAGATTTCCATTTCCTGGTGATATGGAGAATATAGTTCTTGGGTTGTTTATTTGATTTCTAATATTAATCCCTAGGAGTGGGGTCTCTTGCTCCTGCCCCTGCTCTCCTTCACACCAGGAACAGCTCCCACAGAGCCCTCTCGCCCCCACCCTCACTGGGGAGAGGGAATCCCAACTCCACACCCACCTCCAGGAGATTCCAGGAGCATAGAAGTCATAGGAGCCAAACAAATGGAGTAGAAAGCAGTCTTTTATTAGGAAATCACTGAGAGAAGCAGCCCAGGTTTAGGCAACCTCGATGAGAGGAAGAATGAGCCATGTGAGAAAGGCATTCAAATGCTGTAGGGACCAGGGACTGCAGTCCTGGGTCTTCACCGGTGCAGCAAGAGCAGGCTCCACCTGGTAGGAGAGAGGAGAACCAGAGCTATGAGTCAGCAGATCAAAGCACTCAGAGGCTGTGAGAGATAGGGTCAAGTCCACATGTCACTCCTCTAAGAAGCCCAGTTACAGCCTCTGAGACCCCTCAGTTTCCGCATCACCTTCCAGTATCCTCCCTCTCAAGAACCAAGGATCATTTCCCACCGCTCAGCTTTCTCTGTGCCCTCGGGAGTTACCTCTTCCTCCATTCAGTTCTTATTCCAAGCCCAGTTACAGCCTTTGAGACCCCTCAGTTTCCCCATCACCTTCCAGTATCCTCCCTCTCAAGAACCAAGGATCATTTCCCACCGCTCAGCTTTCTCTGTGCCCCTGGGAGTTACCTCTTCCTCCATTCAGTTCTCGGGCATCGTACAGACTCTTCCACAACGGCCCATACAGCACTTCTTGTTCCCGGTGCATTCAGAGTCGTTCATACAGGCGTCATGGATATCCATCCTGGGGCACACTATCAGACTACTGGGGCAGGAGCCAGGCTTAGAGGGAACTTTTGATGGAACTTTGACTGGACCAGGCCCCTTGCCTGGACGTGGATCTTGTCCTTTGTCCAGAACTTGGTCAGCTTCTTGACCTCTATAAGGAACTGTTGAAAGAAGAAATGTACCCATAGTTAGACACCATCTCCCTCTTTCAACTATCTTGTCTTTCTTCTTGGTCCAGTCACTGCTCACTCCAGTGTCCCCCAAATTATGATCTGAGGTGGAGGAGGATCACCAAGGCTAACTCGGGTTTGTGCTCTTGGAAGGCTATTCCCTGAGCTTTGGGGAAGGGTCTACAGGACCACAGTTTGCCATCCCTCCATTCCAAGTCCGGTGCTCAGGAGGCGATGCCAGACTGGAGTGACTCCAAGAAGCGAGAAGGATACATTGTCACTTCTGAGGGGAGAAGAGCTCCAAGACACAGGCCAGGAGACCTGAGCTCCTCCTGGCTCTGGAGATCGCCTTGACAATTGCTCACCCTCTCTAGGTCTCAGTGTCCTCCTTAGTAAAATGGTGGTCTTCTTCAAATTACATGCTTTCTGAGGCCTTGCAGGTTCTTAACCTCCTCTTAGAGGACTGATTAGTCTCAGGTGATTGTACAGGGCAGACAGACAGGGGACAGACCCTACACCCAGGGCCCAGATTCCCGGGACTCCTCACTTCATTCTGCAGAAGTCCCAATGTCTAAGGACAAGGCCACATAACCACACTTCTCCCTATCTCAGTCCTGGGGTGAAAAGCTGGACAACCTCCTCGGGAGTTACCTCTTCCTCCATTCAGTTCTTATTCCACTTGGGCGTCATACAGACTCTTCCACAAGAGCCCATACAGCACTTCTTGTTCCCGGTGCATTGAGAGTCCCTCATACAGGCGTTAGGGGGATTCATCATGGCACACTGCATCTGAATCCTGGGGCAGGAGCCAGGCTTTGATGGAAGTTTGACTGGACCATGCCCCATGCCTGGACGTGTAACTTGTCCTTTGGCCAGAACTTGGTCAGCTTCTTGACCTCTATAAGGAACTGTTGAAAGAAGAAATGTACCCATAGTTAGACACCATCTCCCTCTTTCAACTATCTTGTCTTTCTTCTTGGTCCAGTCACTGCTCACTCCAGTGTCCCCCAAATTATGATCTGAGGTGGAGGAGGATCACCAAGGCTAACTCGGGTTTGTGCTCTTGGAAGGCTATTCCCTGAGCTTTGGGGAAGGGTCTACAGGACCACAGTTTGCCATCCCTCCATTCCAAGTCCGGTGCTCAGGAGGCGATGCCAGACTGGAGTGACTCCAAGAAGCGAGAAGGATACATTGTCACTTCTGAGGGGAGAAGAGCTCCAAGACACAGGCCAGGAGACCTGAGCTCCTCCTGGCTCTGGAGATCGCCTTGACAATTGCTCACCCTCTCTAGGTCTCAGTGTCCTCCTTAGTAAAATGGTGGTCTTCTTCAAATTACATGCTTTCTGAGGCCTTGCAGGTTCTTAACCTCCTCTTAGAGGACTGATTAGTCTCAGGTGATTGTACAGGGCAGACAGACAGGGGACAGACCCTACACCCAGGGCCCAGATTCCCGGGACTCCTCACTTCATTCTGCAGAAGTCCCAATGTCTGAGGCCAAGGCCACATAACAACACTTCTCCCACAGTCTTCCTATCTCAGTCCTGGGGTGAAAAGCTGGACAACCTCCTACTTTATCTGGATACAATGGAAGTGACCAGAGGCTGAAGTGAAGGCCTAAGCCCTGCCTTTTGCTCCAGAAGTGCTTCCTGTCAGCACCCAGGTTGCCCCTGACAGCCTCTCCTCAACCCAACCCAGCCCCAGCCGGGCCACTTGTCCACTCACCTCCACTGACAGCTGCCTGTCCCACCAGCATGCCGAGGACGAGGAGAACCGCCAGAACCAAGAAGCTGCTGGGTCTCATGTTGTCAGGAGGGTGTGTGGCTAAGGGCTGAGGCCAAGCCTAATTTATGTCGCCACCACTTGGCCTGGTGCCAAGGGCGGGTCTGTGGTTTTACAAGGGACAGGACCTACATTTTTGTGTTTCTACCAGGAACTATCCACCCCCAGCCTGGGAGGGACCTTGGGCTTTCCCCAAAGACTATTCACAGAGGGAAATGGCAGCCACTGTGTTACATCACCTATGATAGTGCCAAGAACTGTCCTACTTTCTCATGGGGACACCATCACCACCAAATCCTTTATATTTAGAAAGGATATGAAGCCCAGAGCAAAGACAGAAATCACCCAAGGTCATTCAGCAAGTCAGTGGTCCTGTGTTCAGATTTCAGAACCGAGGCCTTCTCCCATTACTCCCTGATCCTGCCAGGCCCACCCAAACAGTTTACCTGCCAGCATCAAGCTGGGCTTCTCTTCCATTCTCCCCAGGCTTTGAAAACAAAACAACCCTCTAAAGGCAAATTTGCCTTAAAAGTCTAATGGCTAATCACTGCACTTTGCCATTTCATGGGTAGTCTCTGAAACGCACCAAAAAAGTAAAGAGAAAGGTGGAAGTCTAGAGGTGGAAGGGGGTGATGTCTAGAAATCACAATAAGAAGAAAACACCCAGAAAAGTAACAGGTAGAAAATAGAAATCATCTATAAGGTGGGCATCTACTGTGCTTTCCTCCTTCTGAGAAGAGCACCCTATTTCTCTTGAAGAATTCTTGTATCATCAGCTTAAGAGTCTAATGGGGACTGCTAATCGTGAAAGTAAGGATGTGTGTTTGTGTGGCTCTATTAAAGTTTAGGTATATTGAAGTTCATTACTTGAATGGACATTAAGGGGAGGAGCGAAGCCCCTTCTTTTAACTAACACGCTAGATATGAGCCCGGGAACTCCACCAGATGGTTCCAGCCTGGGAGGAGTTTAATTGTGGGAGAAAAATGAACCTAATTAATACACTAATAGAAGCAGAGAGAAAGTGGTAAGAGAGGATTCAGAAGGCACCAGCCCACCTTTCATGCCCCTTTTTCTTAAGAGCAGCTCATCCCACACTCTTCCCACAGTTGGGTTATGACCCAATAAACTAGCTTTCTGCCTAAGCTAGTCTGAGTTGGTATTTTGTCATAGCTACCAAACTTGAGAGTAATAGAAACTAATACCCAGAAGTTGGGTGTTACCAGGGACAGAACCTGAAATGTAGATATGACTGAGTTGAATTCAACTGAGACAGAGAAGAAAATAGACTAATTATTGGGTAGTAAACCAGTAAATGAAATTTTAATGATTTTTACAAGCATAAAAACACAAGGAGCTTATAAATAAATTTAATACATTTTGTACAAGACAGCTATAGAGAAAATTATAAAATGTTAGTAAGAGACATTTTTTTAACACTCCCAATTAGAGAAGTATACCATGCTCATGGATTGGAAGATTTAATATGATAAAGATGCCAGTTCCCTTCAAACTGATTTTTAGATTCAATGCAATCCCAATTAAACCCCCAGAAAGGTTTTTGTAAAAGTAAGCCAAAACTTGGCAGTATGATTCTAAAATGTACACAAAAACATGCAAAAGGCAATATAGCCAAGATACTCTTGAATAAGAACAATTTCATAATATAGCAGCTCTCAAGGTTTCTTTTAAAGCTGTAGTAATTACAATAAAGTGCTATTAGAACAATGATAGGTAAATATGCAAATGAAATAGGATAGAGGGTCTAAAATCAGGTGCTTGCACATAGTGAGAGTATGTTTTTAATATGGTTACATTACATAAATAGCTATGGTTATAGTAAGAAGACTGCACATCATAATATCAACATAGGTTCCTGAGTGGTTGATGGGAGGATAAAGAGGTGGGATAAGAGGGAGAAGGCAAAGAAAATAAATATTGCTTCACCAAAAAACTCATAAGGTCTGATGTATCCTACTATATTTACAAATATCTTAGAAAAAGAACAACTATCACTAGATCTCTGTGTATTGGCTTCTGGAGATGTCTATAAAATCTAACCAGTAGAAGAAAACACGTTGGAGAGCGGTATCTGTGTTTTGGTATTTCAGGAGAAACACGTAAAACTCCCATATATGCCTGTACTTATAGATGAAAAAGAGGAAAGGTATGAAGGAATATCCACACTATGCTGGTAATGGGCAAGGTTGATTCAACAAGAAACGTTTGCGGAAAAGGTGTAGGAGGTCAGCAAGTGAAATGAACTGAGGCTGAAGCAGGTCAGAGGCTCAGGCTGAAATTGCACAGTACGGCCTGCAGAGGGAGCTGGAGTTCAAGGCCAAGGAAGCCAAGGCTCTGGGATCCCCAGAATTGCTGCACGGAAGTGAAGGACACCCAGGAGAGGTTGACCATCCTTCAGACCTATTTCCCACAAAGCAAGGCTGAGGTCCCGGTAACCTCTTGGCCTTTGCCTGTGACATCTGAGCAGGAATCCATGAAAACTACTGCGTAAATGGAGAGGGGATGAAGACAGAAGCACCTGTTCCACGGATTGGCATTTGAGATGTCTCCATGGAATAGGAAACTTTTGCAAAACTTGAGTTATATTCCTCGGAAAAGGCATTATGTTGTTTCTGTGTATTATATAGCAGGTCTTTTACTTTTGGAGAATAGCAAATCTAGATTCTTTGTACAAACTTCGAGCTTATAACAAGATTTTATCTTTTTAAAAAATATATTTTTATTGATTTCAGAGAGGAAGGGAGAGAGAGAGAGAAACATCAATGATGAGAGATAATTATTGAGCCCTTGACTGGGATTGAACCTGGGATCCTTCAGTCTGCAGGCCAACACTCTATCCACTGAGCCAAACCAGCTAGGGCAAAAGATTTCATCTTTTTACCTCATGTTTCTTAGAAATTTAATAGGTATACATTGTTTTCCTATGCCTTTTAACTCAAGTAATATACATATATATATACTAGAGGCCTGGTGCATGAAATTTGTCCCTTGGCTGCTGGCACCAGTTTTCCTCTGGCACCCGGGACACAGGCCTTCACTCTGGCTGGGCTCCAGCCAGACCCCCCTCCCCTCCCCCCAGCCATCAGGCCTCGCGGCTCCGCCCATCCCGGGGCCGTGAGGCCTCGCGGCTCAGCTGGCTTCAGGGCCGTTTGGCTTTGCTGCACCGTTTGGAGCCTACCTATGCAAATTAACCGCCATCTTTGTTGGTGGTTAATTTGCATATTGCCCTGATTAGCCGATGGGAAGCGTAGCGAAGGTACGGTCAATTACCCTTTTTGTCTTTTACTAGATAGGATTCTATTGATTTTAGAGAGGAAGGGAGAGGGAGAGAGAGATAGAAACATCAATGATGAGAGAGAGAAGCATTGATTGGCTGCCTCCTGCACGCCCCCTACTGGGGATGGAGCCCACAACCCGGGCATGTGCCCTGACTGGGAATCGAACCGTGACCTCCTGGTTCATAGGTTGCCTAATCACCCCTAACCCCTCTGCCTGCCTGATCCCCCCTAACCACCTCTGCCTGCCTTGCCTGATCGCCCCTAATTGCTCCCCTTCTGGACTGATGAGAGAGAATTATTGTGCCCTTGACTGGGATTGAACTGCTGCTGCCTCGCCCCACACCTAAGACCCAGGATTCCCTTCTCTGGCTGGCCACAGGCACCCAGGACCTGGGCTGGCTTTGCCCGGGCCGGCTGCAGCCACAGGGGACCGTGGTGGGCAGCTTTGCCTGGGCTGCTGCCGCAGGTGCCCGGGATCGTAGGGCGTGCAGCTTTTCCCTCTTCTGGACCGGGCCTCAGGTGCAGGCACAGTCGTTGGCACCAGGGACTATGGGGCAGGCGGCTTGTCCCTCTCCCAGGCCGCAGCCTGGCTAGTCCCCATTCCTCTCTCGTGAGCTCATTTGTGCCTGGTTTGTCCCCATTCCTCTCTCATGAGCTCATTTGTGCCTGGTTTGTCCCCATTCCTCTCTCCCCAGTGTTGAGTGTCTGAGCCATTATAACATGGCAGCATGAGGGCGTGACAACCATTTGCATATTAGCTCTTTATTATATAGGATATTAATAATATATAAACATAAATCAATAATAATATATATATTTCTACTTTTTCTCTCTTAGATATAATAAAAAACTCAATTTTTAAAGAAAGAGATAAAAAAAGTTTTCCCCCTAAAGCTTTCTTGAAGGTCAGGGGCCTTGTCCATGAAAAAGCAGTAAATAGCCTTGACTGGTTTGGCTCAGTTGGTATGTGTGTTGGCCTATACACTGAAAGGTTTGGGGTGTGATACCCAGTCAGGGCACCACCACCAACAAAAAAAGTAGTAAATAATTATCTGTAGCCTGTGTAGAACAGTAGCCAGACTTAAAATAGTCCTTTCTGGCTAAGGGTTAGAACAATGAATATAATTGTTTGGGCTGCTTTTAGTATCTCTTAATCAAAATTACTAGATGATAGAATTCAAGAACTTGTTACATGCTTGGTGTACTGATTGATAATCATTTAAAAGTATGCATTGTCATGCATAAAAAGGAAAGAATGAAAGACAGAAACGTTTGTGGAAATTAGCAAAATGACTATCATTGAGCACTGACCATTTTGAAATCAGAACTAGCTCCAAAGCAAAAGTGGAATAAATAGTATGTAAATATGATCTTCTGTGAAAATGTAGAAATAATAAAACTTTGATCAAATTGGACAAGGGGGAGAGCAGGTGGATAAGAGAGTCAGCTCTCTGACTGTTTTATATGTAATAGTTTCAAGTTTTATTTTACACTAGAGGCCTGGTGCACGAATTCCTGCACCAGTGGGGTCCCTGGCCTGGCCTGCAGGATCGGGCCAAAACTGACTCTTTGACATCCCCGGAGGGGTCCCGGATTGCAAGAGGGTGCAGGCCAGGCTGAGGGACCCACAGATGCATTATTGGGGCCGGGGAGGGATGCAAGAGGTTGGCCAGCAGGGGAGGGACCATGGGAGGGCTCCAGGGTGTGTCCAGCCCATCTTACTCAGTCCCAATTGGCCGGATCCCAGCAGCAAGCT